TATATATATATATATATAAAATTTTAGTTATTTATAATAACCCTGTCAAGGCACTTCATGGGGTCCTCAAAATATTCCTACGCCCCTGGTTACTACAACCGGCTGAAATATGAAACGACGACACACTTCAGAAGATTCAGCAGGACTGGACATGCATGAGTATTTCCAGGAGTATTTCCTTCACAGGTTTAAGACAAATCCGGCCGAAAACACTGCATATAAAAAAATCCTGAATCTACTCATTAAACTGTAAAAAACACGAGACGTCTACAACAGACTTCTAGACACATTTAAGATAATTTTCCATTATTAATATTTTATACTTTTCTTACAATTATTTATGAAATGATGCATTATAATATACATTATGAATACCTTTATAATGCCTTATACATAAAGGCCACAAATAGGTACCATTACATAATTTTAATTAAATTTGTACTAATTTTGTTGTGTGTTTTTCTCCTTTTTTATTAGTTTCTGGGCTATTTATGTATAGTTTTTATTAATTTAGCTTTAAACTAAATAAAAATGAAAAATGTTTTCACAGGTTTAAGACAAATCCGGCCGAAAACACTGCATATAAAAAAATCCTGAATCTACTCATTAAACTGTAAAAAACACGAGACGTCTACAACAGACTTCTAGACACATTTAAGATAATTTTCCTTACCTGGCACCTGTTGCACAACGTAATCTTTAAAAATAGATTTCAAATCACAGCTGTCAACTATATATATAGAAAAAGCAACGTCTTTTAATATCTCCAGATACATGTTAGACGATTTCCTCTTACCTGAAGTTTTTTGCTCAAGGTAATCTTTAAAAACTGATATCAGAACGTAGTTGCTGAAGCCATTCTTCCTCACAAAGCGGCAGACTTTCTTCTGTTTGTACAAACAGTTGAAGATGAAGCACGAGCTGATGCTTTCGGGATCTTCTCCATGTTCAATCAGAGCCAGATTACAGTTTGGATCACGACAACAGGCCAGAACACAGTCTTCAGACCGAGACACTTGAGGAGAAGACAAGAACGTGGCCCCTTCCTTCACAGATTCATCTACGTCCAACACAAAATCTTCTTTGCCAGGACTGAACTTTTCCATGCATTCCCCTTCATCCTGAGCCTCTGACGGAGACACATGGAGACAGATGTGAAGAACCGCCGCGGTCCAGAAGAACCAGAACCGAGCCGGTGTCATTCTCCGAATGAACAGAACCCTGTATAAACGACTCAAAACCAATCTGAAAAGAAAGAAAATTTTAAACATTACAACTTATATTATATATAGCTGGTAAGATGAATCACATAAACACACAAAGAATCAAAAAGGAGTCATTCTCCAAAGAACAAAAGCTCCAGTAAAATCCCTTTATAAATGATTCAAAACCAATTGAAGAAAGAGAAAATTAAACAGTAAACCTTTTCTAAATATATGTATATTGTATGGATTTAGTCATTCTACCAGCTATATATACAGTAATATAGATATAACTGATAAAATGAATAAATCCAATGAATAAAAAGAATCAAAAAGGAGTCATTCTCCAAAGAACAAAACCTCCAGTAAAATCCCTTTATAAATGATTCAAGACCAATATGAAAAGAAAGAATAAAAAAAAAAAATAAACAGTATAATATTAGGTTATATATAGCTGGTGGTACTAGAATAACTAAATCCATAAAGAATCAAAAATAAGTTATTCTCTAAAGAACAAAACCTCCAGTAAAGCCCTTTATAAATGATTCAAATGAATCTGAAAAGAAAGAGAAGATTTAAAAAATAAAAGATAACAAATAATACTTTAATGGATTTATATTATACGGATTTAGTCATTCTACCAGCTATATTTATATTATATATTTATTTTTATTTATGGGTTATTTATAAATCTATAAAGAATAAAAAAAAAAAAAAGAGTATTTATCTAAAGAACAAAACCTACAGTAAAACCGATTTAAGACGCATCTGAAAAGTAAAAGAAAACATTAAAAATTCCAAATAAAATGCATAAAACATAGTCGTATTTTAAATCCAGAATGAATCTATAAGGAGTCATTAAAAGAAAGAAAACTTCAAATAATATTTTAAATATAGCTGGTAGAATGAACAAATCCATAAACAAATAAAAAGCAGTCAAAACAAAGTAAAATCCCTTTATAAACGACGAAAGACCAATCTGAATAGAAAGAAAAATATTTAAAAAATCAAAACTTCCAATTAATATTTATATTATATATAGCAGGTAGAATGACCAAATATATACAATGGAGAAAAAACATCATTATCAAAATAACAAACCCATTGATGATTCATGACAAAACATTAAAACTTGTAAATATTTATAATACAAAGTCTAAATAATGACTAACTCCAAAAAGAATTCATAAGGAGTCTTGACAATAACTGAAATGTCTTTATTAATACAAACATATGGTGAACGCAGGTGAACTCTGTCAAACTGTGCGTCAACTTCACTTAAAGCGACATATATGACCCAAAACTTACACTAGCTTATTAATATACAATATGACACTTTAATATATGTATTATCGTCACTCAGTCTATAAAGAAAAAATCAGTTTGTGTCAGCTTTTCTAAAATCTATATTATTAATTTATGTATTTTTATTATTACTATTTATTTATTAATTTTTTTATATATACATTATTTTTATTTTATGATTATTATGATTATGATTATTTTATTTTTTTAAGTCTACCAGGGTTTGGGTGGGTTCTAAATTTGCACAGTTGCCGTGTGTTTTATATTACTATTCCCAGAAGAAAATTCAATAAACAGTTGTTAACAAAAAAAACAAAAACAAAAAAAGTTTTGTAAACTTTACACAATTTGTACACAAAGACTCAACCAACAAAGTCATTTTTTCCCCCTAAATTAAGGTCAAGTCTAAAACGAAGAGAAAACAACTTGAAATAGCCTAATGTAATTCGCATTACGAAACACAAAAGCGAAACGTTTCTACCTCAGTAATGTTGCACAGACCTGCTTTACTCACACATAAACATCACAGGCCGCCGAAGAAGAAAAGCAGCAGATATTTTGGTTTTTGTGTTCGTCAGTAAAACACCTAAACTTGAAACATTTCATCTTCTTACCTATTAAACAGCTCTACAAGTGTTCGTCTCCTCCGAAACGGCGTGACTCCTCACCGGCCAGATATAAATCGTCGTTTCAAGCAGAGTTTCGATGGAAATGCGTCGTTGATTCCGAGTCGGATCCGGAGCTCCAGGTGAGGTGTGTCCGATACCGAAATACCTGCTGCGCGAGCAGGAAGTGCTGACGCACGCGCTCGAGTCAGACTCCGCCCCCTCGCGCTACAATGAACCACACACTCATTGCATTATTTATTTGCATGCTTGGGGAAATATGCCTGTCTGTCATTCTTATGAGGCTTTTTTGTGATTGTCTGAGTCTGACTCTATCTGATAAAAGCACACTGTGTCTTAAACAGGACATACCACAGACTGACACATGATGTCTGTGGCTACAGTGCGTGTCTGTTACTTCTGTAAACAGCCAGTAGCCTAAATATGATAAAAAAATATATATGGTTTTGTATAAATATTGTCTGCATTATGTGGGAAGGAGTTGTTTTGATATGCAATAGCAATATTGTTTAAAAAAAAGAGATCATTTATTAAAGATTTTTTATAAATGTGTTTCACTTCATTTATCAAGTGTCTGTGACAAAGCTGATGGAAACATCTCGTTTCCTTCACCAGATGCATCATTCACCACAGACCTCAAAAAGGTCACGTGTTCATGCCCAGTTTCATCAAAACCTCAATGCCGGTGCTGAAAAATCAAGTTTCAAAGCCAAATCAACTCAAAAACTTTGTGTATGTATTACGTATTTAGTTTCAGATGAGATGAAATACATCATATGCTATATTCTAGTCACTATAGGTGGATTTATTCTAATAAGAAGCACTTTAAAATGATATGACAGACATATTGACTGAATTCTGTGTCTGTCATAAACTTCTAATGCACAGAAGCTTCTGCAAAACTGGCAAATGTCGACTTCATGTTAAAATAAATAAATGCTACGAATATAAATGTCCTCTATTCATGCAAACAGTGTTGGGGAAAGTTACTTTGAAAAATAATGCATTACTCCCTTAAAAAAAAGTAACTTATTGCATTACTTAGTTACTTTTTATGTGTAAGTAATGCATTACGTTACATTTGCAGAGCTGTCAGTCAATAGATGGGAAACAAAGTAACTTATTTGAAAAAGTAACTCAGATATTTTCTTGTAAATTAAAAAGTAATGTTACTTTACTAGTTACTTGAAAAAAGTAATCTGATTACGTAACTTACATTACATGCAAATATGCATGTTGTTTTTCTGTGTTTATTGTCATTATTGGCTTTTCCCCACACAAATGTTACCTACAGTTAAAATGGGTTTCTAAAAAGCTCAGTGTGATACAAAATAACATTCAGCGAGACAAAATGGGCAGTCAGTATCAACAAACAAGTAGAACAAAAATTGCATTTGTATATAATAAACATTCCAGGTTTGAAACCATTGTGAAAAAAAAACACTTGAAGATTTAACCGGTAAGGTTCACATGATGAACTTTTAATTTAAGTGGCATTTGGCTAATTTACTGACACAATAGCTGGGTTTTTTTGAAGCATGAATTAATTTTTTTTGGGGGGGGGAGTTACTTAATAAAAGTAATATACTGATTAATTTCTGAATCAGGTCACATAAAATAATTCACACAAAAATTAAAATTCTGTTTATTTTATTCACTCTCATGTTGTTCCAGACAGAAATCACTTAGAAATTACTTAGCCCATATGACTCAGTGCTAATGACAGTCACATCTTCACGACTATGTCCTGCACGGTCACTTGCAAGAAATCAAAACAATGCAGTGATGAAACATTATGCAATATGAAACAATAACGGTGAGAATTGCACAAGATCCCAAAAACGACAGAAATGCATGTTTGAGACAAAAAGATATTTATACTTAATAGGGTACTTGATTCTACACAAACTGATTACTAAACTGTAAAATGATTTTTTTTTTTTATATCTACAGATACATGTTTTCCATTTGAGTTCCTCTTACCTGAAACATTTACATTAAGGTAAGACTTTCTTCTGTTTGTACAAACAGTTGAAGATGAAGCATGAGCTGATGCTTTTGGGATCTTCTCCATGTTCAATCAGAGCCAGATTACAGTTTGGATCACGACAACAGGCCAGAACACAGTCTTCAGACCGAGACACTTGAGGAGAAGACAAGAACGTGGCCCCTTCCTTCACAGATTCATCTACGTCCAACATAAAAGACTGAACTTTTCCATGCATTTCCCTTCATTCTGGACCTCTGATGGAGACAAATGTGCAGAACAACCATGGTCCAGAAGAACCAGAGCCCATTCTATGATGCCCTTCAAACACATACTGACTGCATTATGAGTCTGACTTAAACTTTAATGCCCAGAAACTTTGATTGTACAGTTCTAAGCCCAGCTGTATTGTATGGTGGTACAAACGGTTTCCTTTTCTTGGCATGCTTGCAGTACTACCACTGAATTGCACTAAATGTCACAGTACTTTCTGAGGTTTGAGGTAAACTGTTCATTTGATGCATGGAAGTGAGATGTTTCCGTTGACATTATCTTTCTGTCACTGAAACGTACTGTGTTTTAAATGTGGTGTGAAAAGCACAACATCATTTTGCAGTCCATGACATTATTGTGTTTATTTTGATGCAACACACACACACACACACACACACACACACACAATATATATATATATAAAAATCTAAATATTGAGAAATTGAGAAATAAGTTTTAATATATTTACAGTAGGAAATTTACAAAATATCACACATATATATATATAATAAAGTGTCTGCCAAATGCATAAAAATGTAAAAGATGTGTTCAAAGCCAGAGCTCATGTAACCTACAGTTCTTCACTACAGACAGTAGATGGCAGTGACACATAAAGCGCCTGAATACCGTCATCAGCAGTCTGTGGGAGAGTTAAAGACAACAATGTTGAGCTTTGATAACACAGCCAACACTCGCTGACTCATGGACCGACGCCATACAGAGACAAAGGGATACACACACATTCCATACAGCAGATCAGCCTCAGGCACAGTGAATGTCCTTGTGTAATCACTGAAACACACTGTGGTGAGGCTGATCATTCATTTACATCACTGACATACTCTTCTAAGCACAATACGGAGGGACTTGAGGCAAATCTAGAGAGCGAAATCTCACAGAGACTCTTTTCATTTTTGCCAGTAAGCAACCACCCAGAACACCCTAGCAACTGCATTGCAACACACTATGCTCATAATACACATGCAACTACATAACAACGCCCTGACAACCATCCACAACAGCCTAGCAACTGCATGGTAACACTATATTAACCCGCAGAACACATATGCAACTATGGCAACGCACTATTAACCACAAAACACGTATGCAACGGCATAGCAATGCCTTGGCAACCATCCACAACACCCTAGCAACGGCATGGCAACACACTATTAACCCACAGAACACATATGCAACGGCACAGCAACACATTGGCAACCATCCACAACACCCTAGCAACGGCATGGCAACACACTATTAACCAACAGAACACATATGCAACTGCATAGCAACACCCTGACAACCATCCACAAAACCCTAGCAACTGCATAGCAATGCCCTGGCAACCGTCCGCAACACCCTAGCAACTGCATGGCAACACACTAACCCACAGAACGTATATTCAACTGCATAGCAACACCCTGGCTACCATCCACAACATCCTAGCAACTGCGTGGCAACACACTATTAGCCCGCAGAACACATACAGTATGCAACTGCATAGCAACGCCCTGGCAACCATCCACAACACTCGATCAGTGTGCATTGTGAGCTTTCAATGGACAAACACCACATTTTCTTAATACAATCCATTGTTTTTTCTTGAAAGCACAGCGTTTCTATGGAATGCATGCCCTGTATCTTCTGCTGGCCTTATTTTTGAGTCTTGGCTCGGATGAATGAATTTGTTGGCTGTGAAAGATGAGCTGCTGCGTTGCTCAATAATTTAGAGTCTGTAACAGACGGCACATCGGCATGAGAAGCAGCGGAGCTGCACTTGACTGATATTCCCTGACAAAACAAAGGGGAAAAGTGGCAGGCAGTGTTTTTATCGAAATCGGATCTTTGGAATAGCCAATGCGTGCCTTTTGTCCAGCCTGGTGTACACTTTGACATGGGAATACACTACAGAATTCTGTTTGGACAGCTTGAAGCAACGTTTGACAATCCATTGTTTTTTCTTGAAAGCACAGCGTTTCTATGGAATGCATTCCCTGTATCTTCGGCTGGCCCTATTTTTGAGTCTTGGCTAGGATGAATGAATTTGTTGGCTGTGAAAGATGAGCTGCTGCATTGCTCAATAATTTAGAGTCTGTAACAGACGGCACATCGGCATGAGAAGCAGCGGAGCTGCACTTGACTGATATTCCCTGACAAAACAAAGGGGAAAAGTGGCAGCCATTGTTTTTATCGAAATCGGATCTTTGGAATAGCCAATGCATGCCTTTTGTCCAGCCTGGTGTACACTTTGACATGGGAATACACTACAGAATTCTGTTTGGACAGCTTGAAGCAACGTTTGATGCGCTGTGGGCACCATAAATGTGTTTCTCGCATATCAAGTTTTGTTCTGTCCAAAGCACTCCAGTCTGTTGCATTGCTGCATCTCCTCATCCATCATTTATTAAGGTGCACCCATTTAGTTTCAGGCCTTATCAGTCACAGACCTGATGATGGCAGCTATAAAAGACATGGTTGATTTCTAATGCATGTTTGGAGGCTTTCTGACGGGTGAACATATAGATAATCTGCGCTGGTAGACACAGGTGACCGCGCTTCTGTCATACTTGAGCCTGATACAGACACTAGATAAAAAGAAGCCTTACATGATCTTATTGATGAGTTTACATGGATGCCAAAGGAAAATAAACACATTCCAGTACAGGATTACATTCTCTTTGTCCGTTTTCTGACATCAGCTGCTCCACGGTTATCTGTTGACAGCACTGGGTAGTAATTGATTACATGTAATTTTGATTATGTAATCAGATTACAAAAATTAAGCACTTGTTGTAATTAGATTATATTACATTTTTAAATACTCGTAATCAGACTACAGTTACTTTTTTAGTGATTACATGATTACACACAATAGCAATAAGTTATTCATAATTTATTGATTCTACCTAATTCTTCTTTTTCATCTTTAAAATTTTTCCTT